AACGAATTACTTGTCTCCAGTAATACTTCGTGGCAATAATACACTCGCCACATGCACATACAGAGCGGGGCGCAAGTATAGCTGCAAGTGAAATGCATAATTGTAATCCAATACGGAAGCAATGGATATGTGCGCACGCGCATACGCACACTTCGCTCTAATAGACACACACACAGACAAAAATACTAGACTGCTGGTTGCACTGGTATGCAGTAGGCCCGTTGCAAGTTAAAACCGCTAACCGTCAACTCGTTTCGCCTGCTATTTGTCCATTAAACTGACAAGCCGAGTGCGCACAGCTGGACAATGCCGAAGCTGTGGTTCGCTGGCAATGCCAACTGGAGTGTGTGCATGCATGCGTGTGTGTGTATGTGTGTGGAAAAAATGGTAATAATGAAAAAAAAAGGAAAAACAAAAACAACTTGCTTAGCCAGTGCAGTACCCGCGTGCATTGGCCCCGCTTCATCCCGTCTCCAACGCAAAAAACTCGAGTCATCGCTACGCGGCTTTTATAGTCAATTGACAATTATTACATGTTTTTCATGGTTCGATCTTCTTGGCCAACTTGCCGCACTGGCTGCCAAGCACCGGGCTTTTTGTGTGCTTTTGCAGTAGCCATGCACTTGAACGGGCTTTTAGTCGCCACCGCAGCTAGTACGCCATATATGCATGTGTTGTTGTGGCCGTGGCAGCTGACTCGCTGTTGCCCTCTTTTATAAGCGCTGCTGCCACATGGCATACTTGCTTGGCACATTCCAATCACTTTGCCTTTAACCACTTTGCTCACTGAATTTCTTTCTTATCATTTACGGTTTTTGCAGCCACCACAATTCATCAAAGTCTGTCCATATGTGCGCTGGTGTGCCGTTTTTGTTGTTAGCTGTCTGATACGTGATTCCATAAGTGTAGTAACAGCCTCTATTGGCATGCACTTTTGCGCATTAGGGTGGATTTTATTTGCCATAATTTCTGCTGAATCGATTTCTCGTGCCTTATAAGTTCTAAAAGTCGGAAATTTGGTAATAAATTACTTGGCTAAAGAACAGATTCTGTGGGTTTGGCACCTATCGTTGGCACTGCGGTCAGTAAACCAAATAGATCATATTCTGATAAACGGAAGACACGTCCGTAGTGTTCTAGACGTGCATACAGCTGCAACCGAAACCATTGGCTTTCGGAAAATCCAAAAAAAAAAGGTTGTACGATGACGAGTGCAGTGACGCAGTGGAGAGAAATCAGACTCGCTACGTTACAAGCGACCACAACACGTGCGGGATGGTATAGATAATGAGAGCGGAAAAGGAAAGCGAGACAAAAAAAGGGTGAGAGGCCGAAATGCGTAAGTATGAAGAGCTTGACAAGCTGGCCAATAGGAATAATGCTCAAAAATTCTACGAAAAGATGGCGACTAACAGAATGTTTCAAAACCGGAGCATACTTTTGTAGAACCCCAAGATCTAGTGACTGATGCCCAGTGCGTACTAAAATTTTAGGGGGAACACTTCTTTAGCCTGCTCAATGGCAGCGAAAGTGCGGCGTCAGGAGAAAGCGAACCCGATTCCCCAATCGATGACGATAGAGCTGACGTTCCATTGCCCGACCATGAAGAGATTCGAATAGCCATTACCCGTCTGAAGAACAACAAAGAGGCGGGGACCGAGCTATTCAAATACGGCGGCGAAGGACAGACAAGGAGCATGCATCATCTTCTTAATAGACGACCGAAATGGGTCAGGTGGTGAATGAGAGCATGACGAAATATCTCCTCTCATCAAACAAACAGTCGTCGCACTTGCGGCTAGGCTCCGACGTAGCTGTTGACAGTCATAACTTCGAAGTCGTAGATATTTTCGTCTATCTTAGAACCAGCTATAAAAATATCCCTGAGTGAAGGGTTTTATATCCGAAGTTAAGGTTGTTTTCTTATTTTCGATATAAAAACATTTTCAACTGATCCCATTTTCACTGGGGGTACCAATTGAATAGTATTTATATTGAGTAATTTACTCAATTAGGTTAAAACTTATATCGTTTCTTAACCTTTTTTAGTTACTTTTAAACAGAAGCTCTGACCGCAGAGATACAAGGTCGCATTAGTAAATTCATAGCCTCTATAAATATTATATATTTTGCACCTAAAAAAAAAAATCAAAAATTGTTTACTAAAATATTTCTCCCATTATCACACCTAATTATTAATCTGTAAGCAAATTAGCAGGAAAAAGTCAGGCTTTGTTTGTTTTTTACTTAAAATATTATTAACTCATTTCTAACGTCAAAGTTACTGACAGCCCGACCCCTTTAACTATGCACCTTGAATACCGAACGATTTCATATAAAGCATTACGAGAAATCCATTACAACATTGGAGAAAGGCCAATTACCTAACAAAGCTTTTAATTATTCGGGGCATAATGCATGCGAGCATACACACACACACACGCACACATACAAACATATCTGTACAACTATTTATATCACCACGTTACATAGTTCTATATATTCCTTTCGGTGTGTTGCAAGTCGAAATTAAAAATAGTGCTTTTTTACAAACACAAATCACGTAGTAAAATAGAACAGCTCTGGGCAGTCAAGCTGGAACTCGCCACCATTTGAGCTACAAAGTGCCACAATCCATCTACACGCTGCAAGTCTACTTATCGTATGTTTGTATGGGTGTTATTGCAACGTCAGGCCGGCAACCCATCACTGGTCGGTCGGAGGATTGTACGTTTGGTCGGTGGCCGGTCGGTCGGTGGCCATCGGTTAGGGTATTTAAGTGGGCCGCTTTGACTTCAATTAAAATGCAGTTGTCGGTAGTCGCTGGTGTTTGTTGTTGTTGTTGCTTTTATGTTTTGGTTTAAGATTATGGGCTGTCAGTTTAGCATGTTATTTTGCTGTTTGTTTATTTGTGCGCTGACTCGTTCGTTGGCGCGGTCAGCCCATTCGACTTGAAAGCCGTTAAGCGCTCCTGCAGCTACTGCAACAACGTTGCTTAAACAATTTCCTTCTGCCACACTTTTGAGTGTCGTATACATACATACTTACATACATATTTGTTTGCGCACTAAACCAACGATTTGTTGTTTTCGGTGCTAAGCACTTGTAAAATGTTTGTCAGTTGGTTAGTTTGCACTTAAGTACGTATAACTGTAAGTCAAGTCAAGTCAAGTCTCAGCGGCAAGCGTGTGCTATTTAGAATTATGGTGGGCATATTCAGAAGTTTTTTTGCATGTGTAAAATGCGCTAAATTGAAAAAAATGAGTGAAAATAAAAAAGGTGAAAAAGTAAACTTGAGTTAGCAGAAAACTAGAATTTAACGAAAAACGAACGCAGGAACATAAACTGGTCCCGATCAAATGTTAGAAAAAAAACATTAAAATATTTATACCTTTCATAACAATGTCCTTTTCTTTTAATATTAGGGGTAATAAAAAGATATTAATTATTTTTCCAATAGATTTGTTTAGTAATAAGTAAGAAAGGGCTAAGTTCAAGAATCTAAGCCTTAAAATGTAAAATGTCAACCAGAGTCATACATACGAGGTGTGTTCAAAAAGTATCGCGAATTTTGAATTTTCGCGGGTTACGTATATTTGAATTTCGAATTTTTTGTGGCGTTATGTTGGTACTTATGTCTCTCACTTATGCCGACAAGCTCGGCCATTTTGAATGTTCATTTAACTGTTGACAGCTGCTTTGCTTGCACGTGTTTTGGATCGCCTACGATTTTTACCTATTAAAAAAAAAAATGGATCAAAGAACCTGTATCAAATTTTGTGTGAAAAACGAAATTAAGTGCGCGGATGCATTCCGAATGTTGACTGTGGCATACGGAAAAGCTACCTAGGACCGAAGCAAGGTTTATCGCTGTTACAAAATGTTCTCAAAAGGCCGAGAAGATGTGACAAAAATTGGCTTTTGCACCACGATAACACCCCTGCTCACACATCGTTGCTTGTGCGCGACTTTTTGACCAAAAACAACACACTAATGATGCCACAGCCACCGAATTCCCTAGATCTGGCCCCCTGTGACTTTTTCTTGTTCCCTAAACTGAAGAGGCCCATGAAAGGACGACGTTACGCTTCTCTTCACGAGATAAAGGCGGCATCGAAGGAGGAGCTGAAGAAGACAAAAAAACAAAAAAAAAATATTTTTTGAAGTGCTTCGAAGATTGGAAAAACCGTTGGCACAAGTGTATAATATCTCATGGGGATTACTTTGAAGAGGACAAAATAGATATTCATGAATAAATAAATAATTTTTGAAAAATCACAAAATTCGCGATACTTTTTGAACACACCTCGTATACTACTTACCGACAAATTCAGCATACGTTTTATTAGAAAAACGAAAATCATTTCACGTAATATATTGGAGTTGGGGTAGTTTATTTTACCGACTTTATCTATTAGCTATTATCATGCCACATACTAAAAAATTTTCCCAGGGTTTCATTAAGTTTCCTCACATATGAACACCAATCACATGAATCGCATGGAGTAAAGTCTGACGGATGTTCGTAAATACTGATATTAGTTATATGGGACATAACTGCTATGTGTAAATTCATACTCATTGAGAATAAAGTCATCCGGAAGTTCAAAAATCTTTAGAATAGGTATATGGGGCTCAGGAATGTATTTTCAATACATTTTTGATACACAGAGTTACTATTGTCAGGAAAGGATTCTGTCTGAAGTTCAATTGTACATCGCATAGATTGACCGATATTTTCGATCAAAAGTCAATTATAGATATAAGGGTCGGCATATTCGGTACCTAGGGGCTTGAACAGTTTTGGTTGGATTTGGTTTTTGGTCATGTGGTGACATATTATTATAGTTTTAGGTGCCCCGTTAGACTATCAAAACAGTTATAACCTATGAAGCAAGTTGTGAGAGTACAACATACCTCTTCTTCAAATAACAATTTCTTATAAAGCTTATTATCTGCTTAATTAAATATACATGTATCTGGTATAATACTTGACTTACCCCCGTATAAAACTCCCGGTTTACGATTTGAATTTGAATGTTATTCACGCAGATCTGAAAAAAAATTATTACGTTTTAATAAATTTTTTAGGAAACAATTTTTTATGAAAGAAAAAATAAGGCATACATTTGGTAAAGTATTATTGTATTATGAAAAACGACAGCCTCGTAAATATTATAAGTAAATTTTAGCCGTCATAATTAAAAGGTAATACCGTTATAATTAAAAAGTAAAGTCTTCTCTCCACGAACAAAAACATAACTCGATAAGTCACTCATTATTCCCGTCTTGCTATATGGTTAGAGGCATGGACGATGATGAGTCGATGTTACAAGTTTTCGAGAGAAAGGTTCTGCGGAAGATTTATGGTCCTTTGCACCTTGACCACGGCAAATAACGCTTTCGATGGAACGTTCGGCTGTATGAGATATATGACGACATTGACATAGTTCAGCGAATTAAAAGACAGGGGCTACGCTAGGTCATGTCGTTCGAATGGACGAAAACATTCCAGTTCTGAAAGTTTTCGACGCAGTACCCACCGAAATAGAGGAAAACTGGCGATCTGTTGTTAATGTGGCTATAACCGCGCAAGCGGTATTTACGCCAGTAAAAAAGAAGAATACGGTTGTAAATAATATCGCATGATGACCTTTTGTAAAGAGCATTATAGCAAAAATCTAGCCTCGTTTGGTTTAAAAGTTCCTTTAATCTCCGCTTCTCGATTAAAGCTGGAGTCTCAAATATATCACTTAATTTGTTGAAAAGAGAGTAATCTGGAGAAAATATTAAAGTCCGAGATTACTACTTCGTTTTTATATAACAAGTGCACAAATAAATTTTCGATGTTTAAAAAAAAAATGCAATTTTATTGTAAGAAAATGGTTAAAGTTCGAATACCATTACGGTAAAACAGTTAATCTTGTGATGCTATCCAAGAATTCCATCCATTTTTCGTCATGCAGTAAAATCACTTTTTCGAGACTGTCCCAGTTTTGAGGTCATAAGAAACCCAAGTTTCTTGTTTCCGAAACATTACCAGCGCAAGTCCGCTAGATATGCCTATATAAGGTCTTATATATTCACATATACATAAATATATATATATATATAGATTGAAATCCCGAATAATCGAGGGCAATCGAATAATCAAGAATAAAAAATTAATGCCACCTGGCAACTCTATTTTCGCTGATCAACTATCGTGCCCATAAACAGGAAAAAATGCAATAAAATAGAGAATTAACCAAATATATGTGTCAAATGCAATTTGCATACGCTCCCAAAAAATACAAGAGAGGAGAAACAATAACAACATGTGCAGCTGTTAGATCATTAAATAGAAAGCTGGAAATGCAAGCGGCAAGGCAACAAGTGGAAAAAGTTGTAAATGAAAATCAGACGGGCGCTCCAGCGCATTTCTTCAATGCAATCGCAGACGCGCAGTGAACTTGTCCGACGAGTTTCATGTCAACACAAACGCTTACAACAAAAGCAATACAATAATACCATAAGAAAAAAGTGCCGCGCGATTGCAGCGGAGATGGTGCGAATGCAATTGACAGCGGCAAAGTGTGGCGCGCCTGCGTGTATAACTGTGTATTTACGTCGGATGACTTGCGTATTGACAAATACTATGTGCGTATGTATAACTTTATCTGTGTGAGAGTATTGAAAATAGGTCTGCATAATAAATATAAATATGTTAATGTGCTTCCATAATAATTTTGGTCGCTTTTATCGCTGGTTTCTAGACTCTTTTCTTATTTATTATTTTTATACCCTGAACAGGGTATATAAAGTTTGCTACAAAGAAATGTCGGAGATTCTATAAAGTATATATGTATATATATAAATGATCCGCATGACGAGCTGAGTCAAAATCTGCCTTTCGGTGTATACGGAACTCATCTTTTGGGATGTCAGTCTGAAAAGTTTCAAACGTTTCTTTTGCCTTGCTTAGGCCTCTCCGAGGCAGCAATAAAATTGTCATATCGATTAAAATATATCCATATTCCTTATGTGGAAAACTTTTGAATTTCAAGAGGTATTTTCACGAAATGTGCATAAGGTTTTATTAAAAGCAGCGCCAAAAATTCGGTACCAGTATTTCATATCGAACCACTAAATCATATAGGTTAGGTTAGAATGGCCGTATGCCTGCCCACCATACTACTGCTCCATAGAGCAGAATTGGTCTTCCAATAGCTGTGTGCTACTAGTGCATGAGAGAGGAAGAGAGTCCTAAGTGTTGAACCCCCAGCTGTTGAACATCTGCCTACACGCTTATAAAGACAGTTTACTGTCCAAGATTACCCCAAGGTATTTGGGAGAGACTTGAGTTCCATTTATCTATAAACAAATTTTGTGCTTTCTTGTGAATACAAGCAGATCCATTTTCTTCGGATTCCTAATACTGCTAATGGTTTTAGACACCTACCCGTTATTAATATGGCACGGCTAGGACTTGTCGAGTTCTTAAAGCCTGGAAAGTACACACTAGGTCCTCCAGCCCAGGCAGTTGTCCGTTCATTTTCCGCGACTCTTACGAATTAGACTGGGCGAAGTGGTGATTTTGGATAATAGTTTCCTGACTCTCGCCACGTCATTGGTATTTTCAAAGTCACTATAAGAGTTCTTCGCCCAGCTTGGCCAAGTTTACAGGGTTGGTCCGGAAGGTAATAAGACTAAGTCGATTTAAAAAAATTTATTGATCCAATCGTTACAATTTTTTAAAATAACTAATATAAAATAAGAAATAGGATGCAGCGCTGCTACCGCGATTTCTAAGTTCTGAAGGCGTCCCGGAAGGCATTCTCCGGAATAGCCTTGAGAGTCGAGGTACATGCTGCTTGGATCCCCTCTGTCATCTCAAAATGCCTCTTTGTCTCGGGATCATACTCAAAGATCCATGACTCATCACCTGTGATTACGATATTTAAAATTGAGGGTCACTTTGAAACATGTTCAAATTTTCTTAGCACACGTTCTACTCACCGCACTTTCTGGTCTTTAGCGAGTACTTTTCGCCCATACCTTGCGCATGTACCAGGGATTGTGATAAATTTCAACATCTCAGCACTTAAACGAATACTTATCCGACAGTCTGAGTGTAAAACTTTGCGCACACGAGTCACATTATCCGTGTTTGTCGAAGGCGCAGGTCTCCCAGCACGGTCATCATTAGCGACCTCTTCCCGGCCCTCCAAAAAGACCTGGTGTCACCGAAACACATCACTTCTTGCTAAAGCAACGTCTGGGTAAGCCTGCTTGATCATAAAAAACATCTTTGTAGCAGATTTACCGCGTTTCACACAGAATTTTAGCGAATATCTCTGCCCTAACGAACGCTGCATTTTCGGCTTGCACCACTCACAGAAACAAGTTGCGTGAAAATGTTTGTCCTGAATCTCAAGGTGCTTGGAGACAACTGACCAGCCGCTCGGCAGGAACGCCCTTTACCGAATCTAGTCGGTGCCCGCATGCTTCGAAGTACAGTCGCGGCGGTAGAAAGCGGTCCTATTACTTTCCGGATAAGCCCTGAAAACATCCCCGTACTCTGTGTCTGCAAGACCCAAGTTTCTTATTTCACCAAGGGGCATGCGTAGTGAAGCGTTGTATTAAAGGCATTCGAGTCACGCCCTTTTCAATTTCTTCATGTGAGTTATACACGCAAGGTCTAAGTCTTTTGCGTAATAGTAACTGCCTCTAAAGATTCCTAGTTTGTATTACCGGGCTTACTGCTAACCTCGTTTCTACTTTCTGTATATATATAGCATTACATACAAACTGACCGACCTAAATCAAGTCCTTGAATGGAAAACATATTAATTTGACGAGAGATCTTGACCGAACAAATATTTCACATCGAACCACTGTAGAATATAGCTGACCGTTCAAAATCAATTTCTTCTATGGAAATTATATTATTTGTGAAGGGTATTTTATATTGTATCATATGGTTGTATATATATTTACATGCGGATATGCAATATGCATTTCTTTACGTCTTTTAATGATTCCCATTTTTCTCATCACACCACTTGTATTACTTGAATTTTCTAGCTCAACTTCTCAAAGTGGGCAACGCTGGATGGACGCGGTCATGTGAAGTAACTTACACACACACATACAAACAAACAATTGTGACATTGCAGCAGAAAATTAATAAACACAACAACAATAAGAGCAATTCCACCAAGAACAGCATGCAGCACATGGCTGCGCTGGAAAAAGTTGAACGATGCCACATATTGTTGCAATTGTTGTAGAATGTGGAATCTGGAATAAAAATGCACGCATAAATTACCGCGACAACGGCAGACTAGGAAAAAAAGAGCAATAAATTTGTACGCTGGAATTCGCAGCGACTACCAAATTGAGCGAACTGACCAGCATGTAAAAAAGATAAAGTAAAAAGCAACAACAATACATTAAAGTGCATTGCCAACCCCGATATAGCCGCAAGTTGCCACGCATTTAGCATTGGAATGCTAGTCGTTTGCGTCAGCAGCTGTTGCTCTTGCGTTTGTTGTTGTTGTGGCAGTGACTTTTCTGCAGTGCGGCAGTTAAGGTGCGTGGCGCGCATTCGCCATTGACCGGAAAATCAACGTCAACATTATTGACATGCGCAACATTTAATGGCAGCCCTGCAAGCAAACGCCAGCACACACACACATACATACATACATATGTGTAACGTCAGCTGCCGGTAGACGTGGCTGAGAGCGTGTCTTTTAGCCAGCCTGGGAACCAGCGTTAAGTGCGCTATGCTGCCCGGAACAAAAGTCACAGCCATAAGCTACGCAAGACGCATGAAAATAAAGCAAAGCAGCAAGCAATAACAACAAACAGCGGAGAAATAAAAAACAAATTGTAAACTTGTATGTTTGGAAATCGAATTGTAAAATCAGCAGTTAAGTGTGTCGGCGCGCCTCCCCCACATCAACACAACCGCCTTCGCCGCGATGGAGGAGGATGTCTTAAATGCGCTGCAGACGCGCACGGCCTATTTGCCCGGCGGCTACGATCGCGCCGGCAAAATTATCGTCGTTGTTAACATCATCAATGATTTACAATTGTGGAATCGCCGTTGCTTGGAGCTATCGATTACCTACTTAAAAAGTGCGTTGAGGTGAGTGATTTGCGTCTTCTTCTAAATTTTTCCCATATCAATTTAGTTTGTTTATATATTTATATTCATAGACACCTTCAAACATATACCAAATAGTAGACATGAGTTTTATGTTGTGATAATACTTGAAAATTGTGAGACTCTTGAAGTGTTTGTTTAAAAAATTTTTTCTCGAAAAGAAGTGAAAAAAGGGAAGTTTTGGGTTTTAAGCTTATGGGGGTGGTGGACATATTTTTTTGGGAGGTTTTGTTTGTCTAAAAAAATCCTCTACTAGCTGAATATAGCTTCAGCTCTTTTCCAATGTTAATTATTTTTTTTTTTCAATTCCTTTTTTTCTTTTCCTTTCCTTTTTTTATTTGATCTGCCGTTCATTAGATATGAAATCTCCCACTTTCACCATAAATTATCTATTATTTAAATAAGACTCCAATGTGTTATACAAATATAACGAATGAGCTACGTCTAAACATATTGCTCAAAAGTACTCTCCCTGCTCAAATGCTTTTCTTATTTCATTAGCAATTCTATATATATAGAGCAATATCGTGCTATGTTTCTCACGAAACCCGAATTTTTGAAAACAACAAAAAAGAAAAAAAAAAAACAAGTAAGGAAGGACAAAGGAAACATAACGGGTGATCCAAAGTAGATATACTTTTTCCAATAGTATTTTCTTGACAGATCACGCGTGAGTCGGGCCAAACTTTTCTTTTATATTTGTTTAGTATTCTTTGGCTACATTACATTACGGAAAGATTAATCTGATTAGCCTGAAGAACGTTTACAAAACGTTCAACTTTATTACTAAAATTCATATTCTATAAAGAATGTGTTTCGAGTGCTTCGTTTAACTTATGGTCCATATAATCGGCATACTGAGCGTACTATACGCAACACCATCACGCATCTTGAGACCCAGTACTCCGTATTGGATAACACTCGAACGAATAGACCACGTCCAGCACTTACTGAAGAAAATATAGTAGCCGTAGCTGAGAGTGTACGAAAAGACTTTGTAGAGTTGATTCGACGTATGGAACGATTTGGTGTATTTTACGTCGAGATCTTAAATTGAAAGCTTACAAAATACAGCATGTGCCAGTTACCAGTCAAAATGCTAGAAGGAGTCATCGAAAATTGGCCTCAACTGATGAACAAACTGAGACGTAGCCGCGACCAATATTTGGAAGAGATAATTTTCAGAAAATAAATATAAAAGAATGTTATTTCGAATGATAATAAACACTTCTGACTACTTCTCCCTAAGTTTGAAGTTTCGGTGTTTTTTCCTTAAGAATGTAGGAAACCTCGAAATGGATCACCCGTTAGATCAGACTTAGAGTAGTCGATATAATTGTTTCTTTGTATTAGATTAATATATTTTTTGATGAAACATATTTACGAAAACAGCAAAAATTTAATTAAAAATATAACCTTAAAAGCGCATAATTTTAATTTAATTTCTAATCATTAATATTCAAATTTTAATTATTTTTTCTCTTTTGCAAAAGAAAATACTTAAAACTTCGTATGTATGTGCCTTAGAGTGAGCCGTTTGTTTTCTATAAAATCGCCCAAGCGGAAAATGTTCTACAGATCATTCTGAAAAATTTTGCCTTAACGACTATGGGTATAAAATCAAATTCTGGCCAGCGCTTTTTAGGAAGAAGTTTGACAGATCTGAAATTTCGGTTGTATGGGATGTAGTTATCCAATCTGACCGTTTCCGACAAATAATCGACAGAATATAAAATTGCTCCTATATATTATTTTTCATTAGGATATTTTGAAAACTCAAAAATTGAACAAAAATGCTTGTGATCTCACGTTGGCTCTGTTCCGATCGCAAACGCCATTCTTTAGTTTTTTCGCATGCTATAAATCGACCCGCTCTAATGCGCACATGTAAGGATGATTAACCAATTTGATGAGTTGATATGAATCTTGTTGTTTCTAATTGATTGATTTGCCCAACATGCAAGCAGATTTTTGGCAATAAAGCGTTGAAGTATTGCTTGTGCTTGACTATCCAACTCGAAAACAGCTTTAGAAATGAAATCGACGATAGTTGCGAAACTCGCAACGATTTAACGGTTTAAAAATATACAAATCTCAAGACTAACTGCTTTTCATTATAAACTTGTACATGTTGTTGTAGCAACGATTATGATAAATGTTCTTTCGATTTCCACTTTACGCAATTATTGTTGGTTTTCTTAACTTTCAATAAGTAAATTGGCAACCACAAAAATGTAATTAAACTTCCAGCAAAGTGACACTAAACAGTAGTGAATTTAAGAAAAAATAAAAAAGAAACACATAAACATTAAGCACCTCATTCTTGACTTCAATACTAAGCGAACACTTTCGGCTCGTATTTTTCTTGCAGCGCCGCCACCTTGCAGCGCGGCGTCACCGTCATCGTGGACGCACAGAAGAGCACGACACGCATCACACGCACGCATGCGCGCATCATTTACGCACTCTTCGATGAGATCACAGTCAATTTATTTCTAGTCAGAGCGGAGGGCTTCTGGGAGAAGCATGTGGACACCTGCACGAACAAATCGCAGGCGAAGGGCGAGGTGAGCGCTAATGATTTAGTGTGAGAATAAAAAGCGTTTTAACAATTGGAGAAAGTAGTAGGAAAGAGGAGGAAAGAGTATAAAATGTTTGAATAATTCTAATGCGCCTAATTTCCCAAGCTTTAATGAAATTATGTGTGTACAAGGCTTTTAATTGCATTATTAATATTATGTAAATTTTTAATGAGATTTTAATGTAATTTGTGTTTTTTGTTCCACACATTTCCAGCCCATTGTGCTCTCGAAGGCGCGTTTGATAAAATACTTCGACCTGTCGCAGTTGCCAGAGGAGCTGGGCGGCACTTTGTCATTTAACTATGATTTATGGCTGCAACAAAGAAAGGTATGACAGAAACTATGGTGCGTCAGTAAAAATTAATTTAATATTAATTTATGTGCTTTAAATTTATTTGTTATATTTTTGTGGCAATAATTTACTGATACTTTTAGTTAGAAAATAAAATTTAAAATTTATGAGGGCAATCCTATTTGTTTATTATGTAAATGGAATGATAAACCATTTCTACTTTAATTGTTTTATATTACGAGAGTATATATATATATTAGGGTGCATAATTTTTTTGGGAATGAAAATACTTAAAAATGCCAATAGTTTTGAGAGAGCAAAAACCTTAATGTCATTTGGTAACTCTAAAATTATAACCTGATAAAAAAACCAAAATTATTGTAATTTTTGGTAACAAAATTTGATATTATAATATTTTTCCATTTATGGCCTTCGTACTACTGTGGGCAATAATAGTAAATTTGTGTGCAGACCAAATTTCTGGTACCGAAATATTCAAAATGTTGAAAGAGGGCTTCGGTGATAATTGTTTGTCATGCAAGGAGGGTCGAGAACACCTTGACGATGAACCACGTCCAGGACGGCTATTAAAATCAACTCATGATGAACACGTCAACAAAATAAAGAAATTCGTGCTTGAGAATCGACGACTAACAGCCAGAAATCTTACTGGCATCACTGAAATGCCGCAAGGATCAATGAAAACCATTTTGAAAGATCATTTGCCATAGAAGTTGAAAAACGGCAACGCCTTAACGTCTGTGAAGCAATGATTTCCAAGTACCATGATGTCATGAAACGTTTTATTACTGGCGATGAGTGTTAGATCTATGCTTAAGGCTCGAAAACAGATTATCAGTCGGCCGAATATCTTGACAAAATAAGCAGGAGCAGAAAAAAACATTCCAAAGCGGGTAAAAAATCCCAGTTATGTTGACAGTTTTCTTCGATTATCGCAGTATAGTGCAGTCCCAACCACATTTTTAACACCGTTTTGATTCAATTAAGGATATAAATGCTGAATCGAAGAAGGCTCTGATGGCCACCATGACGGAGGATTTTCCAAGTGCTATGAGGACTGGAAAATTCGTTGGCATAAGTGTATTGCAGCGGGAGAGAAGGAGATGAAATGAACAAAATTCACCATTCAATTTAATCACAGAGTATACTATATATACGTGTATACTATATAAAGCGATTAGCATGAAGAGCAGAATAAACTTAGTCATATTCGTCTCTCTGTTCATCGTATATACGGGAACTAGTCCATTTTCCCCAAGAAGGTGCTTATTTGTTGAAACCGTCGATATCGGACTACCCTAGCATATAGCCGCCATACAAATTGAACGGTCGGCATCTAGTGCTGGTATGTAAACCTTTTTTGTTTGACGAGATATCTTCACGAAATTTGGCTCAGCTTATTGTTTAAAGAAATCTCCGTGAGAATTCAGAGCTGCCATACAAACTGAATCATCAAAATGAAGTTCTTATTTCCGAGCAACCGACGTTAACGCGTTTTCTGGTCTTTTTATAAATTTGAAGTTCGAATCTGTAATTTTTCTAAGCATATAGCAGAGAACTAACAATGATAAATATATTTCATCCACTTGTTAGTTGGCTTGCCTCAGTGTAAAGGTCATCAAAAGGAGCCTTACCGAAAGACACTTCTTTGGCGTTGATATCTCGTGTAGTTTTCATAAAAGATTTTGATACCGAAATTTATTTAGATTCTAAAATCTATTCAGTGCATTACAACTTCTGTTAATTTGATTCGAAGTCATCTTTCACTTTGTAGTGTAAAGGGAAGGAGAAGATTTTTTAGCAATATCAATATTATTAGGAAAACTTCTTACAAAAAGTCTATAGAATTTATATATTGTAAAATTATTCATAAAATGATGGTAAAAATAGCTAAATTCATTTAAATTAAAGGCATCACATTTAGTCATATACCCAGACATTTATGTAAAAATGAATAACTGGCTTTCCTTTTACTTATTTTCTCACGCAGGCCATTGATGAGTTCCAAAAGACTTTCGATTCGACGCTTAGTAGCATGGAGAATCTGCACGTGGTGCTGCTGAATAATAAATCATTGCGGCCAACGGAAGCGGATGTTGAGTTGAAGAAGTGTGCACAGCTGCATACGAGCGTACAACAACAAATCGAAGTGGTCATCGAGTTGGGTAAGCTGATAAGCAAACGCTTTACTAATGGGCTATAAGCTCAAGAACCCAGATCAACGCTTGTTTTTTGCTTTTTATGTATTTACGAGCGAGTAAAGCGCTTAAATGAAGACATCAACTACGCCGCACAGTAACGTAATTTAACATAAAACACATGCCTTACTCAGGTGGCTATGCGTGTGCGTGAGTAAAAATGCGAGATAAATGATTATGCGGCAATTAAAAATTCAAAACAAAGAAGAGATAAATAAAAAAAAATGAAATAAAGAAAAGATAAATAAAAAAGATAAGTAAAACAAATAAGAAAAACAAGTGCTGACGCATAAACACCGACTGCTTGAAGGTTTACTGCGTACAAGTTTGCCGCTTAAGTCTTTTGTTTGGCCAAGCAAGAGCGCAAATGCTCGGTAACAAACGTTGTTTTTGATTTTGAAGTAGATCTTTATTAATTAATATGAAAATAATATTAATTAATTTATTAATTTTTTTTGCAATCTAAGCTATAGAATTGACTGAAACTTTATGAATGAAAAATTGTGTGAGGAAAAAACTTGAAATTTCGACTTTGAAATCATAATAACGCGTATGCTCGGTAACAAACGTTGTTTTTGATTTTGAAGTAGATCTTTATTAATTAATATGAAAATAATATTAATAATTTATTAATTTTTTTTGCAATCTAAGCTATAGAAGTGACTGAAACTTTATGAATGAAAAATTGTGTGAGGAAAAAACTTGAAATTTCGACTTTGAAATCATAATAACGCGTAGTTTAGATGAAGAAGATTTTGTCATACAGATGCATAAATGAATATTCTCGCCAAATTTATGAACACTTTTGCAGAAGGTCGCAATAAATTAGTGATTTGATGCGGTAGGTCTTTGAAGTTCGTAAAAGTTGCCGAATGCACGTTATGTATTTCAGAAAGAAAAACGTATACTAAACACTAATGATAATTTTGAAATGAGATTTGATACAGATGTCACTGACAGTCATACCAACGAAAAAGAAACAGAATATTTCGATGAATGGGTTTCCATGTGATATTTAAATGAAATGAAGTCTTACTGTTTTTTGCCCAAAGTAATATACTACAACTCGTTAATTTTTTTGTGTTCCAACTTTGTACATACTATATGTATGTATATATGTACTTTTGCCGTATACTGATTTAAAAGCATGTCATTCGCTCATTGCCAGTTAACACTCGCTTTGTATGACAAACACGCTTGTGGTAACAATGAGTTGTTATGCATTAAAAGTGTAAAGTGTTAAATTTGTAAAATAAGTAAGTGTTGAAGGAAATTGAAAGTATTTCCATTCTTTTGTGATTTAAATAGCTTTTTGTGATGATTTTTTTAACAAATTTGGTTGAAAATGTATTTTTCTATGAACTATATTAATTGGCGTAATTATAATATAACTTTTCGATTGCATACAATTATATCGACTTGCTAAATACTTAGCCCAGTACGTTCGGCAATGCTAAGGCAATTACTTCCAATACCAGACAGTTCTCTTGGATCGTCAATTGATTGTCAATATGCTTATTCCCGCAAAATCCATTTCTTTCATTTAAGCAGACCCTTAATGATTATCTTTCATTATCTGCTAAAAAACTTAAACATAAAACTTTCTGACAGCGCTTTTAGTCTTATCGCATGAATACTAACCAGTTGGTGACTAGTCGGTACCCCTATTATGAGATTAAGATGAATTTTGCTGATTGCAAGAAAGCTTACTTATATCGACACCGAGCGAGAACCTGCCTGTAATCAAGCTAGTACGGAAGATTGCTCTGCTCCGAGCTTTCTATAGGCTCATTTAACAGTCAAGGAGTAAACTATGAAGAACTTAGGAATCACCATCGGCTTCTAGTCTAGTAGTAATCTAGTAAGGGTAATCATTATCATTGAATTATAAGTTTCCACCGCTTCCATATGAATATTACTTATAAGTAGCTCGATACAATCGAAAGTGAAGTACAGCAGAGGGTAGAAATAATTTAAAGAGCTCGCCTAAAAAAGCAGATTTTTTGGAATGTTCATTAACTACTGTATTGATTGTTTTAAAATTTTTATGGTATGCTATTTATTCATATTTTGAAAAAAAAAAAAATATATATATATATATATTTAAAATTACACGCGCTACTCCGACAGCGCTTAAACAAGAGTCCTCCATTGCCACACTGATTCCGGCGTTTTCCATGGAGAAAATCTAAAAAAAAAAAATATTTACTAAACGACATTGTCCGTACAGTGAGGTATGGTCGAAAAAACACCAAGAATGGGGAAAATGGTGAATTTTACCAAAAATTGTAGGTAGTCACTTTCGGACTGTTAAAATTCGATTTTACGTCAGAAACTGGTAGGTCAGGAGGATACTATATATACAGAATATACATTTTATCACTGGAGCTTATTCGAAAAATGGTGTTTTAAAAGTGTATATAGTTAAACTCATAGAGCTGACTGAACTAACCGGCTATACTTTAAAAGACTGTGTAAATTCGAAATATTTATTTAAACAATAACAATATGGGATTATTTAAGGTATACAAGTATGCTAAATGTAAAAATAATGTTTTCAAAATGTCGTACTAGCTGAACCCGTATGAACTAGTGTCGTAAAAAGGCAGTTAATATTTTTACTACGACGATTTCAACGCTCTTAATCGACTAAAACATAAAAAAAAATATTTATCTAAAATAATTTCGCATTGCCTGGTTCTATGGAAAAGTTGGAAACATTTTTTAACGACATGGCGACTGCCTGAATAAAAACAAACAATTTTTGTAGCAATTTTTTTGTTTCGATTTTTTATATATTATATTATAATAAAAAAACAAACTAGAGGATATGGCTAGATCCAAAAATACACATGTTTATAAAGAAGACTCTAAGCAATTGTGGGTATCGTTTTGAAAAAAAAAAAAACCGTTACGTGTCATTCCCGGCCAAGCTACTTAGTCCAATGTTATTGAAAAATTAAATAATTAATCAAAAAATTAAAAATTATGTAATTTGCATGAAATAGCTGTAGAGGAAACGGTAATGGGTTGAAAAACGTTTGAATTCACTTTACTAATCACCTTCACTTAGGTACAAGAAAACTTGTACATAACCTAAAACGTAAAATATTTCGATACACTTGATTGCAGCACCCAATTTGCTAATGCAATTCACCTTTCACCTGCAATTGAAGCTAAAAAGAAAGCGTTCAATGCTGAATAGACATTAACGCGTTTGAAAAAAGATAGAGATTGAAGAAAGTGACCGCCGATTTGAAGTGGTTGCGAGACCGAAGTGAACACGTAGAAAATGAAGTGGCCACTTAGGCTGAGAAAATGAAAAAAAAAAATTATTGAAGTTTTATAATATTTAAAAGGCAAACACACATTTTTGGCTCACAGTTTCTCTTTTCCCTTCTTTCCAGGTAATCGCGTGTTGAATCGGCTATCGGAAGCTTATGCGCCGCCCAGAGTGGCAACAATGCCGCAAATATCCGCCACAACCAACGTCTTAACGCCCGCTATCAACAGCACCGCAACAATATCCTGCCATGAAGCCCATAGCCACAACAGTATACAAACACAAACAAACTTCAATTGCGCCACAGTCAACACACCCGCCACACGCTTGCCGCTGCCGCCGGATCTGCAATACGCACGCGCACGCATTGAACTGCTGTTGAATCAAATTGAACGCAAACAAACGGAAATACGCACCGCGTGGCTAGAACTCTTACAGAGCATACGCGAGGCACGCGAACTCACACATCTGGAAGAGGGTGTCGCCTTCGTCACGAACTGGATACTACAGACTGCCGAACAGATGCTCAGCCGACAGTATAGCATCGGCGGCGATGTGCACAGCTGTGAGACGCTGCGCGCCGCACACGATGTGCTCGAACTGGAATGCCGCGAAACATATGGCTTCTATGCGGAATTGTTGTATAAAATCGACGCGTTCGCTGGGGTGAAGGACTCGCACGCCTATAAGGATCTGATGTCACAATGTGATTTTATGCAATTTGTGTGTCGCTCATTTGCCACACGCTTGGAGCGGCGTCGGAATGTGTTGATCACATCGTTGCGGTTTTTTCGACTCGTCAGCGAATATTTCGATCGAACCACTGCGGTTTTCGAAACACTAGTCATGGGTAATAAAATAGCCGAGGAGAATTTTGTGACGGCGGCGGAGACTTTGCAGCAGCTGAAGGAGAGTCAACTGAGCTTGGGTGAGTGTGAGTGCGAGTGGTGCTAAAGAAATGTTGGTTGTTCGTGTTGTGTAGAGGTTGAAATAATATTGAGCAGATATTTATGCACATATTATATAACATACAGGTGCTTGTTTTTAGTTTGTGGTTTGTGTGGGAAATGACATTGAGGAAATTCGATATAGTTGTAAAGCATATTTAAAGCTTTCCGAAGGCTTGAAGCAATAGATTATTTATTTTTTCATTTATAAAAACAAAATTTTTCATAAAATTCTACTCAACCGACGCATAAAAATTATTATCACACATTATTTTCTGGCCTCAAGGCAATCAAATTTGTTAGATTAACGATTTGATCTATTTATTTGCCAGTTTCACCATTCCTCTCAATTACTGCTGAGAGAAATATAAGCCGTGTTGATGGTATCATATCTGGTATGCTATAACGGCCGAATAAGTGTATACTTAATAAGTTTAAAATCATAACTGCTGATTGATAGCTGACGAATAGATGGACCTTAAATTAGAAGCGCATTCCTATTATGAAATTTCTTTCACATTAGGGAATATGGATTATCAAAATTAATTAATATAGGTTATTAAAGAGTACATTTAAAAGAGCAGTACTTCGGGTATTTTTTACTTCAGCTCAGCTTATCTTTTCATATCGAAGTAGAAGGACTCGCATAATAACAAAACATCATGAAATGAGAAGTTAAGTTGTAAACCAACCCATCCTGCTATAAAAAACACCTGCACTGACTCTCCAATAACAATTTCAATTAAACCGAAACTTCTGTATTTAAGCATATTGTACTAGTAAAAATTACCCAGGTAGAGCTATCAAGCATTAGCTTCGGTAGATTTTTAATAAAATAGACAATATAAAAGCCACAAAAGAGTTCAAGACTAATGGAAATATGAAGCTCAGAAAAAGAAAGGGCCGTAGAGCGAAAACGGAGACCAGAGGAGGAGTGTGTAGAATTTTTAAAGAAAATATTTGCAAAAAATTGTGGCAGAGCACCAGGTCTCCTGAGAACCTTGAGCCCAGGAGAAATTGTCACCCATCTTCCTCCTCTCCTTCACTGTTTAAGCAAGGGAAAAGACCAGCAAGTTCGGCGGAATTCCAGTAAAAATTATGAGATTATTATAAGTAGGAGCCAAAAACTTGACTATCGAATTAATGGGTTAAAAAGAATCTATAGGCACAGAAAAAAGTTTTTAGCTTTACTTCAACTTAAAAACAAGAAAAAAATGTTAACTTCGACTGCACCGAAACTAATATACCCTTCACAGGTACATTTGTTTTAGTAGCTATGTGTTCAGTTTGTATGGAAGCTATATGCTATAGTAAACCGATCTGAACAATTTTTTCCTAGATTATATTATTACCTTAAACAGTAATCAATGTCAAAATTTTGTGAAGATAACACGTCAAATGTGAAAGTTTCCCATACAAGAACTTGATTCCGATCGTTCAGTTTGTATGGCAGCTGTATTTTATAGTGGAGAAAATGACGTTTGCAAAATTTCAAAATTATATTTTAAAAACTGGTTCGTATATATACAGACGAACAGACAGACAGACGGACATGGCAAAACCAATCATTTAATATATACTTTATAGGGTCTCCGACGCTTCTTTCTATGTATTCCAAACTTCGTGGCAAAGTTAATATACCCTGTTCAGGGTAAAAATATGTTTTTCATTAAGAATACCATAACTTTTGAAACGGTTAGTATAAAATTTCATAAAAGCTTTGCTTCAGTGGGATCAGATCAAAACAACTGGTAGGTCATTGTATGGAGAACTATATGTTGTGCCAAAAAAACACCCGGAAGTTGTAATTATATTTCCCGGTAAATTATTTCAAAAAAATGTATTTTGTTAAGTTGGTGTGACTGCCCTTAATTACTATGCCAAATGTAAGCGCGACCTGTAAACTAGTTTATTTACAGCAGCTACTTAAGGCGCTACACCTCAGTGCGATTTTTACAATGGATAAAAATGTCGAACATAGAATTTGTCCGAAATTTTGAACTTCTAACCAAATTTCGTGTGGGGAATCATTGCAAATGTTAGAAAAGCCTTACGAGTGGTACAAATCATTCACAGATGGTCGAGAGAAAGTTTAAGACAAACCTTACTCTGAACAACCTTCGGCCTCTTCAACTGATGCAAATATTAAAAAATTGAAAGATTTGGTTCTTGAAAACCATTAGGCAAGTGTTAGAGAGATGACAAGAAAATTCGACATTTCTTGCGAGTCCGTTCGAAAGATTCTGGTTGATATTTTAGGTACGAAACGCGTTCTTGCTCGACTCGTCACGATAAAGCTGATTTTTTTTCTAAGTGTACCATAAACAGGCCTCTTTAGACATGCTTAATCATATGAATTCCGATCAAACAAGTCAACAATGATCGGAGTGGAGGGAAAAAAGATCCGAAACCAAAAAATGCTTGCCAAAGCCTATCAAAATTTAAGGAGATGCTCATTGTTTTTTTCGATATTCGAGGTTTGGTTGCATCATGAATTTTTCCAGAAGGACAAACGGTCAATTAGAACTTTTATGAGGCGTTTGCGTGTAACATCCGTCGAAAACTGCCGGAATTGTGGAGGAACATTCCATAAACCCTCGCATCGAGCCACGATTATGACCGAATGAATGCAAAAAATGTAATTAATACCATCGATCGAACATCGGATACACCAGATTTGGCTGCGTGCCTTTTTTGTTTTTCCCCAAACTCAAACTGCCGTTCTGTGGAGGCCGTTTTCAGTCGATCGAAGAGTTAAAACCAAATTCGCTGAAGGAGTTGAAGGCCATCCCAAAAAATGATTATGAAAAATGCTTGGAGGACTGGAAAAATCTTTGGCATATGGGAACAACAACTGGTGGGAATTATTTTGAAGGCGGCAAATTAAATATTAATGAATAATTAATTAGTTTTATTTACAACTTTCGGATACTGTTTTTTCATAATGTATATAGAAAATGCAGAAATAGTTGGTAGTGACGAAATCATTTGTTGTTGTTTCGAGAAATACGAGTTGAAAGATGAACTTAAAGAGCTGACTAAACGGAGCGGCACTAAAAGCCATTCTAACTTGAAAACTGTCTAAATAAAGCAATCGTTCAATTTTTATTTTTAAAGGTTTAAATTACCAAAATATGAAAAAAAACCGATTCTGTTTTTATTTCACACTAGATGTGCTTTCAATATTTATAGCATATTCTAATTAAATTTCATTCATCAAAATTTCTTTACTACGTGAAATATATTAGAGAGATGAGCTTGACAGATGAGCTCGAAAGACTAGGCTTGCTTCTTTATTTAGTTTAATTACAGCACACACTTGCGTATTATGAGATTTCAACATTTTCTCACAATTCTTTAAATAAGGCCAAGTTGTAAAATTTTCTCCCTAAAAAAACCGTTACTTAAAAAAAATTCTCAATTCGCTGATAAGCATAAGTTGTACATAACTATCTTAAGTACTTTTTTGTGCAGAAATTTCACTAAAAATATGCATGTTACTTGCTTTTTTCTTTCAATTTCTTCTGCCCTTCAACCGTAAAAAATTTTCAACACAACATTTCACCGGAATCCAATTAATCGGCCAATTGTGTTGAACACACAAAAAACGTAATTCACAAAATCGGCACAAACCAATCGGCCGGCAGGCAAGCTGGAACGCGAACTCGTTAAGGAGGGCGAAAAGCTCAGCGATATGCTGGCGATGCCGGTGAAAGATGCGCTTGGCCGTGACCTACACATCGACTACAGCGAAGATATCGGCAATGTGCGCGATATTTTGGACACGACGTTGGCGCGCCGCAACATCTTCGGCGACAGCGTTGAACTGCAGAAACTCACCTTGGAACAAGTGACACACATTTACACATACGAAGCGGATGGCCGTATGGCCATTAAATGGATGGAGGATTTGTACAATGTCATGATCAAGTGCCATTCGCACGTCGGCTGTAATATACACGAGATACAGGTGCAGAAGGATGAATTGCAGACATTTCAAGAAACTGGAAAGGTAAGTCAAACAACTATACTAATGACATGTATGAACGTGTATATATGTATGGGTGTGTGTACGTGAGGAGCACAGTGAATACAAAAAGCCATTCAGTCCAGTTGCTCATTGAGGGAATGTGGCTATGCATTTGTGGATATGCATATATATGACTGTATATACGTAAGTGTATTTACCTATGGCCATGTGTGTGTGTGTGTGTGGTGAACGCAAGTTGCCTGTGGGCAAGCTGTGTGGCAAGTTGCCGTTGGAGCTGGGAGGCACCGTGCGCTACTAAGTACCGCTGACTTTGTTTCGCTCCGGCGCTTTTTTGAAATAAAATTGTGGTTGTTGTCGCTATTGTTGTTATTGCCGGCTTGCAGCTAGGTGTTGTTAATGGTCAACCGTATGCAAGCGATTTATCACAGTTTGTAATCATGTTTTGCATCCTGAGTTGTTGGCATTGCTTTGCTTTTGTTTGTGTTATACTTGTTGTTGTTGTTGCTCTTGTTATTATTGTGGGTTTGTTATTGTTATGGTCAGTGAGTTAAAGCGGTCCAATTTCCGTTCATCACCGGTTTCTCCTCTGCCTTTTTTCCCCTCTTTCATATTTCTTTTTGCAATTGTGTCCCTCTTATTACCTCCTGTTCGACGTAATTCTGGTTCTACATGCACCGCATTGATATAGTGAATGGTGTAATTTAGCGCAACAAAATAATTTGCTGTTTTCGCGTTTCGCTGTCGCCAATTTGATGCAGGGAAACGACGCGATGCGGCCGCTATGTTGTGACAGGGGTAGGTGGCACAATTAGCTTAGGATAGTACCGTTATTTGTTTGTTAACCGCAACCGCACACCTGTTACAGTTGATTTAACAATGTGTATAATCTAAAGAGGAAAATTCTAAATAATTTTGCCGGTTTAATGGAAATTTAACAATTTAGGTGCTAGTGATCTCGGAAGTGAGGTTAGATGATGCTAAAGCCGTTAGACAGTTTGGTGACCTTGAGATCATTAAAAAAAAGGGTATAATACGTACTGTGACCACAAGGCGAATTACTTGAGCGGAAGTAAATATTTTATTACCCTGATTAATCAGCTATATTTGGAGAAATACTCAATATGATGCTTAATATTTGCTATGAAAGCCTCTTAGGATAGTAAGTGTATATGAAAATTTGCGAATTATGATTCAAGCCCATAATACCCAATTCGGCCCAAAAATATTCGGTTATCATTGAGCGGTAGCGATTCCCAATCACAGTAACGTGTCGGTCTTAATCATCATGGAAAGGTATGGCCCAATGACGCCGTCGGCCCATAAACCTCACCAAACCTTATTTTTTTCGGGTTGCAATGGTGAGCCAGGAAGTACGCACAAACGTAGTCTCACAGCAATAATCACTTTATTGATTTCCAAAAGCGTTTTTGTTTTATAAAAAAAAAAAAAATAAATGTAGCGCTCTTATTGAAAAGAATCTCTCTTCAAGTTGAGGCCACTGACTCCGAATTTCGGTAGTAAATTTTAATAATTTCGATCATTGTTGGACCATACATCTTTCCATGATGAAATGACAGGTTTGCCATTGCCATCTTACTGCAGAGAAATGCCAAAAGAGCGGGAAAAAATATAGCGCTGTTTGCTGTCCCTATCGGTCTACTTTTATAGTGCCCTATTGAAAAACCCTATATTTTGAAAAAAGTCCTTAAAAACATGATTTCGGATGGTTATGGAAAATATTGATAATACCAAGAAGTTTTTTGACATTAACCAGAATATGTAAGTATATATTGGCTTGATTAATTCCTATGCTAACCAATACACAAAAATATACGAAGAGGAAGGTACAAAACGTTCACCAACAAAGCCTCTGGAGGTTATCCGATATACATACTCAAGTGAAGTATGTTGTGGCCACTGGCTCAGGATTTTAGGCTATTGAAGTTCGACTTGGTGTTAATAGCGGCCTTGTTAATGAACTTGCGGTAAATTAGCAATGGTCGAAGATGGATTTATAGTTCTTTGATCAATAGTTTCAACGGCGATCATATTCACCAACGAATCAAATTGTGAAATAGGAATAGAAGAATTTTTCTGTTTGAAACAAAGATACTATAATTCAGTCTTCTAGGTCGAGTTTGTTGGCATAACAAAAGGTTAAAAGTGGTTTTCTGCTCTAACCAACAAATCCATAAACTTTCTAGTGGACACCCAGCAGAAATTAAACTTATGTATGTATGTTAGGTTATGCAAGTTGGCAAAAAATATATTCTCAATACGCAAATCGGTTAATATCACCTGGGTAAACAATTTCCTTAAGTTTCTCCAGACCAATCAGATACTTCAAAACTAGTTTGAAGCAACCTCAAGTCTTGAAACACAACAACGCAGGGCATACTATACCAGAAAGTTACTTTGATAGTTAGTTGGGGTCCCGGTCCCTAACCTTAAGATTCCGCATTCAGATTCAGAGAAAATTGTAAATGTGGATGAGGTGGAATATGCGCGGAAGATGATAAGACACTGGAACATATAAGTCATCTCTTCAGCCAGATGAGACGGTATATATACCACGGCTTCCAATGACAACTAAGAGACATTGGGCATTTGGGAGAGGAAAAAATAAGTGTTTTTTTTACCAAATACATTGAGATTCTGGTTAACGCTTAATTCGGTTATGTACTTGAATCAAAATGGGTAAAATTATGTGGCTGCTTGCGATATATCGCTTCAGTGGCTTCTTTTCCACCAACTGGCCAAAAAGTGGCTTGCTATTTGTTATACGGACATTAAGACAGGCAGAATAACCATACTGTTTTGAGAAAATCGGTACCAAGTTTATAAGCACCGATATAAAGACTGTCGGTCTGTCATATGACCAGGAAGGTAAGAACCTCTGGTTAACGACCAATTGGTGATGCAAGAACTGAGCCTCAATCGGAAATCACACTTAAATCGTTTCCAGCAAGTCATTTGTGAAGACATAATGCCTGAAACGAAAGAAACTTATGTACCAATGAAATATTGTAAACTCGTTACAAAACTTAAAAGGATTTTAATAACATTTATAACATTCGGAGATGGTTGAGAAGATGAAAGTTAATTTGCTTTTCAAGAAAACTTCCAAAACTTTCCTACAGAAAAAGAAAACAGTTTAACCTTAGTGCAGGGTTGTCAATTAAGCAGTGAGTGCTTAGAAGCCCTAGTTCTAGATAAAGATATGTGTTGCGAAGCGCAAAATATTGTCAAAGCTCAAAGAAAAACTAAAAAGACAATAACTCTGCACATTCTTCGGTTAAAAATGACACTGAGCTGATCTTTCTTGAAAGCATATACAATTTATAGTTTCTTATAGTTAAGTCAGGACACGGGGAGCTTATGAATCTTATTGGGAAAATATTTCTTTCAAAAATGAGGTTACAAAGTGGTTCACTAGTTATACATATGTGAATGATCAGCGAGGTGCCGCGCGAGTGCTTCCTTTTATGAACCACTCTTACACAGTCGTTCATTAGTTATATATCTTGTTCTTAATTTATGTGATTCCTCCTTTCCATTACTGACTGATAAGAAGAAAATTTTCCACCTGCCATAGAGTCAACTCAATTGTTCGAATGTTACTGCTTCTCCTTCGCTCTCTTGAAATTACCTGTCCTACTCTGCGAAAAAGAACTTATGTTAAGCAAATTTATGTAACTATGTACATGAATATACGTAGATGTAGACAAATATATTCTCGTTTATATACATACATATATACAATTTACATATCGGCTAACTATTTATCACCCCAATAAATACACATACATACATTCCACATTGCAGAGCATCTACAACTATGGCTGTCAACTGCTGGAAGCTTCACAGGCGCTGCGCATTTCCTGTCGCCTCGATGCCGAGGCAATACCACAACGCATGTCACAGCAATTGCAGCACACTTGGCACCGATTGCAGGCCATAAGTCAGGAACATATGACACGTTTGCGCGTCTCGGCCGTCTTCCATCGCAGCGTCGAGGAGTACTGCCAACAGCTGCAGGAGCTGCGCTTATCGGTGCGCAATCTGAAGCAGACGCCGAACAGCAGCAGCGGCATCAGCAGCGAATCTGACACACGCGCATCGCCGCCAATCATCATCGGCGGTAGGGAAACAGTAGACGAGACGGTAGAAAGAAGTAGCCACGATGGCGCAGAAGAAGAGGGAACTACACAGAGCATTGCTGGCTATGCGAACAAGGCGACTACGACGAATGTCGCGACAACGACGACGACGAAGGGGGGCGCAAGCGGTGCAGCGGCGCTGCTGCGTGATCAGCTGCGTAAACATTTGGTGGTGCGCGAACAGCTGCTGCTCGAAGTGGGTCGCATGGTGCGGTTGGGCCGACTGTTGAAAACCCGTTTGAAAGAACCATTCGTCTTGGATGCCGTTACGGGAATGAGGTGCGTATGAAAAAAGAGTTTAATTTTATCTTCAAATATCTTCATGTATGTTTGTTGCTATGTTGGTTGGTGGCTTCAGCCACAGGGAAGCTCGTTGGTGCGTTAAGTTTTAGTCGTAATGTTGAAACAGCTGTTGGAAATCGGGTTAGCGCTGTGTTTCTACTAGTTTTAACGGGTTCGAGTGTGAATTGTGACACTTTTTATTACATTGCCTTCTTGGTACAAACATATTTCGGTGATGCTGAGCTTTTATGAAGATAAAGTGCATGAAAGACCGTTTTATGCGCCGCTTATCGCAAGGGCGATTACTTAGTATAAGCTTTAATTTCACGCCTCATTTCTTAGTACTCAAGTTAACCAATATAATACAAGCGTTTTTTATAGCATTTCAACACGAGGTACTTATTCTTGTTATGACAACCGGTTTCAACTAGTAACTCATATGTCGTACATACATACGTACATATTGCCCGTACGTAGGGTAAAGCTGTGAGAATTGGTTAAACAGTCGTGAGTGAGTAGCCACAATGTTGCTGCATGTTTGTGCCACCCACGGCGCGTGTTAAAGACAATTGACCGTCGGCTAAGTTAACTACTTCGTTTGTTGTTTTTGACGCGTGCTCAAATCGCTACCGTCCGCATGTAGCTCGCTGTCGCTGGGCGTGTCATTCTTGAAAATTAATCATCATTTCAGTTTCCAGGGCTATACAAAGAGAGGTATCTAGCAAGTAACTGTAACTGTCTCTCAATATTTGTATAATTTTACAACTGGTTTACAAATCTGGTATTATTTAACTTCGTGTGAAATGTAGAACGAACGCTATTCTCAGAAAAACAGAAAAAAATTTGCTGAGGAGTTGCAGAAAATATCTTAATCTTAATTGTCAACAACAAATTACAGACTCTGACTAAAATTTCCACTTTAGCGATATTAAATTACACGATCTTGTGAGCCACGCCACAGGCCCACATCGCGAGATAATGGGCTAAGCAAGAGTTTCCTTCATCAAATTGATTAATGCGTTAGCTGTAAGACATGCAGCTCCATCTTTTTCTACCACATCCACTGATTCAGGTTTGAAAAAGTTATTAATCAGTAGTAGCTCCCCATTAACAGTAAAATTATCACCGGCTTCATTTTTGAAGAAATATAGACCAATGATTCCCTATGCTCATAGCGCGCACATACAGTGACTTTTTGAGAAAATAACTGCGTATCACCTATGGTTTATAGGTTATCAACACCGTAAGCACAATAAGTTTGTTTATTAGCATACCCATTAACCCCAAAGTGCGCTTCACTGATGAACAGACCTTTCCTGTCAAAATCGCGATCAGTGCCCATTTCGTTTCGAACACGTTCACGGAACGTACGCCACGCTTAAAAAATTTGGACTTCTTTAACCCGCAAACCAAGATCCTTCTGCATAATCTTCCAAAAAGTGGATGGACACAGCTAGAATTGTTGTCCGCGAAAGTGTATGGACTCATTCGGACAACTCTAAGGATGCATATCATTCACTATAGGAAAGATGGTGCGAAACCCATCCATGGTTGCTTGAATTACGGATCGAATATTGATCGTAGTACCAATGCGTAGTGCGAACCGAATCACTATTTTTCACTAGATGCATGTAGATGCCAAACCGAACTCTGACGGCTCCCTTTCAACCCATATGCTAACAAAGGAGTTGTGAATGAGAAGAAGCCGTTGGAGCAGCTGCCACGACAGTCGGGTGCCTTGTAACCGGATTTTTATCCCACAGGACAGTCGATTCGGCAGAGTTCTGGCATTACAAAAACAACAACCACTACAGATCTGAGTGCTTGAGAAGGTTGGTGGAGGTGTTTACTGTCAGGTGCTCTCTATCAACTACGGCTTCATACTTCCTAACAATTGCAGTGCTTTCCAAGCCGAGGTTGCAGCATTAAGGTAGCAGTAGATCTACTGCTCCGGAGAGCAGCCCCTTTCAGAGAAGTGACCATTCACTCAGATAGCAAAGCGCCGATACAAGCCTTGAACTCATTATCGATCGAATGATCGCACGCAATGCGCGAACCGAATCAATATTTTGGTAACAAATTTACACGATTTGTAAACGTTGTTCCGGACTAGGTCTGTTCCTTATGAAAAGGAAAGAAAAATTGAGTATAAAGCAAGTAAAAGCTGTCACAAAAAAAAAAAAAAAAAACACCGACAAAATAATGCCTCATTTAAAGTCTAAAGAACATCCTTATATGCCAGACAAAAAACTTTAATGTAATGAAAATTTGCATACTCTGAACAGGTTATATTAAGTTTGCTAAAAGTTTATAATACATATAAAGTAAATTAGTCAGTGATTTGTAGCTACCGATCTACTTTTGTAGAACCCTCAAAGGTGATCTAGTGACTTATGCCCACAGCAAATTGAAATTATGTTGAATACCTGGACATGGTGAACCCGATTCCCTAATCAAGTTTGATGGAGCAGACGTTCTACTGCCCGACCAAGAGGAAGTTCGAAAGCAAAAACCCGTCTGAAGAACAACAAAGCGGGGGCCCGATGGATTGCCGGGTGAACAAAAGTTTCTTATTAACTAACTTTAATTCGATTTGAAATATTTTTATACTGTTGGAAGCAAAATGTTGACCGGTCAGTTTACCTAATAAACGACAATATTTCCTTATGGTATTCAATATAGAAAAGAGAAAAATATTAGAAAACTTCTCCAAAGCGCCAGAACGGCCAATACAGTAAGTATAAATAAACGTTGTATTAATTATTACTATTGCCTGACAAAAATTATGCTTTAACCCTCATTATCTGATTGGTGTCTTTAGTACAAATTGTAAAGACCACACACGGTCAATTGTCTGTCGCATATTCGACTCTTCTGAGCTAAGACAAATGAAATGCGTTCAAAACTCCAATTCGATTTCGATTATTATCGCTTTAGTGACCTTTGTCGGTGGCCTATCCACGAAGTGACATTTTTAGTGCCACATATACTTATACATACACACATATACATACCTAAATTTACATACATAAGTATTTATGAGAGAATGCGCTCAATGAGTGTCTACAACATGTCTGCTTCCGCATGTTCTTCCCACACGCGTGTCCATCATTTACATATTTACATGCTTTCTTTCTTTTACTTCCTTCATACATTGAATTGTGTTCTTCTCTTCCAGAACGTAAGTTAAAATTATTGTTCGTCGCCGCACGCAAATGAATTAATTATGAAGATATTGCATAATATTTGTAGAGCCATGTGAAGGGACTAATAAGAAAAAACAGAAATAAAGTGCCTTGTAGGAAATTGATGAATTAGCAAGATGATTTTTTTTAATTAAATACTGTGTTTAACAGATTTTTTTGTTATTAAAATACCATGAGGAGGGTAATATATTGCTTGTCACGAAGTCTGTAAAAGCCTAAAGATACCATATGAAGTATATACTTGTGCACATTCATAGGTAAATGATCACCGTGTGATCAGAGTAAATTTAACCATGACCATTTGTCTGTCCGCCTATATATTGTGTAGTCGAAAAAGTCTTTTCGTATTTTTCAATGTAAGTCGAATATGTGCTACCTTTCACATTGTGTCATACCATATCGAGCTGGAAAAGTGAGATTTTAGGCTTCATTTAATCACAAAAAAAAAATAAATTAATTAATTCTGGGAAGTTAAAAAAAGTTACAAGACCTGATCACATAAGCAGCCATGACATCGCTAAGGAACTTAATATTGACCATCAAACGGTTTTGAACCATTTAAAAAAGGCTGATTTGTCTGTGACAAATGTAATGGACCGAATTAACACCTGCGATTCTTCGCTGAAACAAAAGGATATCTAAGCATTTCTGAAGCGAATGGTAACAGGAGGCGAAAAGTGGATTAAATACGACACTAATGTGTAAAATCAAGTGTGATGATGCTCAACAAATAGTCGCAAAGCCAGGATTAACGCCTCGAATGGTTATGCTGAGTGTTTTTTTTTTTCGGATTTTAAAGGAATCATCAACTATGAGCTGCTCCAGCCTGGTTAAACGATTGATTTTACATCTTACTGCCAACAACTGATGAGATTGAAGCAAGCAATCGAAAACCTTTTTCTTTTTGACGGGATACGAGATAGAGATACTAATAATTAGACAAAGCGAAATTTACTATCGTTGCGCATATTTCGTCGGCAGTCATACATCCGACGAACCCAGAGAGATAGCCGAAATTGATATTATCCGCCTTAAGAAGTTTATGATAGGCTCAAAGGCTTAAAGGCCTTTCTTTCTTCTTTGGAATAAGTGATATTTAAATTATTATTTAGAACAGTTTAAATAGTATCGCAGCACTTCGATGTTATAATTGTGTCTTTTGTTGTGATAGTAATTTTTCTATACTCATCGACTCTGAAAGAAAAATAAAGTTGTGAGCTTGAATTTTCCATCTCAATTTCAGGAAGATTTTCTGACATAAAACTGACACAAGGAACTCGCTTTCCTACGAGTATACATATGTGTGATATTATAGAACAGTGGACTATAACATTTTTCCTCCTAAACCTTCGTCTTTGGTGTCTCTTATGAATATTGTTGTTGTGGTTGCGCATTAGTAAACCATGCATACAACACTTTAAGCATTAATTTGCGTTTATTGCATTTTCACGATGAGTTTCCACCAACACCACCAGAATGTAAATAACACTATTGCAAACATATATTATGTATTTATGTGTATATGTTTGTGATAGAACAGTAGCCAGTCTGTCTGTAGCCTGAGGTTATTGACTACAATTCAGACGCCAAACTGTTGAGTACAGCGAAATTATGCTACGTGTACTGTAAATGTAATTAAATAGTGTTACGTGATTCGAGACCATTATTTGATTGAGTGTGAGAATGGTTCTAAATTTAATATTTATGGGCAATTAATAAACAGTAATGTGTTGGGTATGATTACGGGTGGGACAAGGCTGGGTTTGATTGATTTTCGACAGAATTTTCCAGAAGTCACTTTCGGTCATCAAAACGATCTCCCGAAATATTCTTGAAGCATTCAATTTGACTGAGAAGTCCTTCAATGCAGTATTTATGTCCTCAATTCTTCTCAATCTACTGAGGTATACAGTGGCTACGACACCATTAATGTGTTGCTTTTTAACCAAATCCTCGCGAACAAGCAACGATGCGTGAGCTCGTGCTAAAGCCAATTTGTGTTTTTCCACAAATCTCGGCATTTCTGACGAACTTAACTTGAAGGGATTATTTTTTTTTTATTGATTTTACGACACTTTGGCAAGAACTCACAATGGACGATGCCCCTACAATCTAAGGAAGTTGTTAGCATAACCTTCACATTCGATCTCACTTGGCGCACCCTTTCCAGCCTTGACTCATGCAGTAACTTCCATTAAACATAAACCTTGATTCGTCACCAGTTGCGACCCTCTGGTCATAGCGGACTTAGTTGAGCATATCCTGAACAATGTCAACACGAAGCAGTTCTTGGTCGAAATAGAACAATTTGGGCACAAATTTCACGACGACTTGACTCACATCCAAATCAGTGGTTAAAATCGAAAGGCACGTGCCAATCGAAATATTTACCTCCTCTGCAATTCCTCGAATAGCGATTCGACAATGGGTCAACACACTTGGTTAATGTTGTCGTCTTTTCTGAAATGGTCGGGCGTCTGGCGCGGTCTTCGTCTTTCATATCTTTTCGAGAACATTTCGTACCAACGATAAACTTACATAGCTTTTGTCCAAGGAAACCTCATCATATCCCACTATCAATATTCCTAATGAGTCCGCAAATTTTATTCAGATTCTTTGATCCATTTTGTGGGATAAGCAACAGTCGAAGAAGCAAAAGAACTGTCAACAATTAACTAAACATTCAAAATGGCCGACTTTGTCAGAATAAGTTATGGATATGACGCAAAAAAACAATCGAAAATCGAATACACGTAACCCGGGAAGTTTCAAAATTCGCAATATTTTTTGTACAAACCTCGTACAGTCAAAAAGGAACAAGAACTATACCTCGATAACGAATGAACGAAATGAAATGCATACATATATGTACATATATATGTATATATATATATATCCACATTTGTAATTCCGAAAAAATCTAAAGAATCCCTGCAAAAACATCGATTATGAAAATTAACTCTACTTAGATATATTTATTGACTACAAATGGTTTTAGGGCAGATCCACTATAGAGACATATATTTGGGATTTAAGGAGACTAAAACATTCCGTAGATATTTTTTTAAATAGGCGGGCTCGTTGGACACTGAGGTACTATGAAAGTATAATAGAAATATAGGCATATAGAATTCTCAATTTGAGTGCTTTTCAAGCCAAAGTTTTTGTTATTTATATACAAGGTTTGTTGGATGTGGTATACTGCGTTCTAACTTATTTTCTCATTATTATTTGACGGCGACGTGTTTGCATAAGTAACTTTGAATGATTGAAACCGCTACATGGCAAAAAAGCCTTGTTAGTAACACTTTTATGTCTGATAAAAATAAATCTTTTTATAAAATCGTAAGTGATTGAATAATTTTTGTATTGAACATTAGAGGTCTTGAAATTTGGAAGTAAATAAAATAAAATATCAACTACAACTTAAATATCAGGTAGGGTCATACGTAGTGCCTCAATATGTCAAGTTGGAAGCTACTTCATCAGGTAGAGACTATGACTTTTTTTTAGAAGACTTTCTTTTAGATAGTGATGTATATCACTATTCAAATATAATAACCCGTGTTATAGGGTTATAAAGTTACTAGAATTAATATTTTTAAATATGTGGCAACCCTAAAAATTATATGCAGCAGCCAATTTTATACCATTTGGTTTTAATTTTTTTTTAATATAATAAAAAAATAAGTGGCAGCCCTACGCAAAATAGTTTCTCCGTAATATGTGGAGTTGGAAAGTACTCCAATTCAAAGTTACTGTTTAAGGCACTTTTATATGAGTTACCGTACATTTCATAGCAACATAGGAATATTTAATTTAGACTGTCAATTTACTTGAATTAATAATTTTAAATAGGTGGCAACTTTAAAAGAAACTTCAGCAATAACTTTATACGATCTATTTAATTTCAAGACCTTATTGCAATAACTCACAAACTTATGTATACCAATTTAACATAGTGAAAATCAGGTGGCAACACTATTCAAAGCTTGTTCTCTTAATCCTTAGTAAACATCTTTTATTTAATTTTTCTAATGAATATCACATACTTATGTGTATTAATTTAACATAGTAAAAATCAGGTGGAAACCTTACTAATATTTCTTCTTTTGTAATCTTTCTCAATTCCTTAAATATTATTTATTTTTCTAATGATGCTCATAAATTAATGTGTAGTCATTTAACATAGTAAAAAATAGGTGGCTACCCCGTTAAAATTTTTTTCTGTAATCCTTCTTAAACAACTTGAATTTTATTTTTTTTTTTTTAATTAAAAAATGTAAAAGTTTGTAACATTTTTGTTTCCTTGTGGGTCATCTTAATAACATACATATGGATGTATGTTTGTATATACGGCACGTGTGCTCAGAAATATTATATGTATTAATGATCGAGCCATATATAATATTGGAGAAAACCGCAATTAGATAACAGTATGCAAACATTACAACATACACAGATATATATAATGTACATGAAGTCTTACATAAATAATCTAGCTATAGTGCGTCAGAACAGATATTCTTGGTTGATCTCACGTTGATCTCTCAAGTTTAGTGCAGCTGTTGGCGGAACCCACCAAAGAACAACAATAATAAATATAAACTTAAAACGATTTGGCTTTGAGCGATGCTAAGTCTATACATAAAAATATATAACATATACATATACATAGATTTGTATACATACATATGCAACTAAAGGAAAGCGCCGGAAAAAAGGCACAGGAAAATTGCTTTCACCCAAAATTCGCTTTTACTAAAATACAAAAACAAATACACAAAAGTAAAAAAATAAGATACTAAAATAAAAAAAATATAAGAAAGAAACGCAGAAGAAACGTCACATAATTTTAGCCGTCCACGCGTCGCATCTACTCACAAACCAGCAGCAAAAAAAGTACAAAACTCAAATAAAATAGCCACAAAAATGCCTCCGCATTCACTACCAGCCAGGAGTACGCGTTTAATAATAAATATTTTTGAAAAATTTAGAGCTCGCCGAGGAGCAGTCTGACAGACAGACACAATAGGCAAGTTAGTATATTTTAGTGCGCGATCCAGCGTGGTTCTTCAATTCGTAATTACGTACGGGAATAAATATTTACCGTTGTGTCGTGGCGTACGACGTATAACCAGGCCGTAAGAGGGTTATAGGAAAACGAGCGGGAGCGCGAACGTGGCGAGATTAAGCTTTAAAGAGTGCGGGTCCCATAAAACTGCATTGCTTACTATCAAAAGAAAGGAGCGACCGGTGAAAATTTGTGCTTAAAAAAATTAAAAATTAAAATACCTCAAAGAGCTTGAGAGCAGTGGCGCTGAAAACGCATGCAACATAATAAATCTTCCGAATTTTTAGTTAAAAATAGAAGCGTTTTAATACTCTTCAAAATATTTCGCACAATTGTCAGTTAAGGAAAGCACATTTGGCAAGTAAAATATTAACGAATAACACAAGTGAATAACAGAAGACGAGCTAAGAACGCTTGGAGCACACTTACGAAACGCGCTAAACGAAACTAACGACTTCTGAAATATATATAACTGATATATATCAACAAGTTTAAAACAAAAAAAAATTAAATATTACAAACGAAGATGTTCTCGCGATTGCGTAATTTATTTGCGAAAGCAAAAAGTGAAGATTCGCCCGAACCGGAAACGGAAACGGTAACTACGGAAAATGAAAACTCGCAGGCGAACGGCGGTACCGAACAAACGAAAACTGGAAAATACTTTGAAGACAAACCTGAAAATGCAGAAAATACTGTTAGCGCGGCCGAACACTTTTCAAAATCCAGCACCGAAGAGCAAGTTGCAGCGGTCGAGCAAAAAAGCGCGTTGGATGAAAAAGTAGAGCCCGCGCCAAGTAGCCAGCCAAATGGGCTTCAAAGTAATGGCAACGTGGTACACGAATTAAGTACCGTAACACTAGAAAATAGCACCACGATGGCAACGGCAGACACATTGAATGCGTGTGACAACATGAATGAAGCGGGAGAATCTATAAATACGACTGAAAGTGAAAAGACAGTGGCAGATGATGAAACAAGCGCCGATGTAGTAATAGACGCCGCCGAGAACGATGGGGGGGCTGACAAAAGCGTAGATGATAATACAAATAAAGACGGGAATGGGGTAGAAGCATTTGACAACGTTGACGAGCAGCAAATTGAGGTCAACACTCAATCAGATGAAGTTGTCGAAAAGCCAAATGAGACTGCAACTGCAGTTGACGAGAATGTGGTGAAGGTGGGGGAAATTAGCGCTGCTTCAGACGGTGCTAATGAGTTAGGGCAGATGGGAGATGATACTTCACTAATTAATGATAATGAAAGCGAAAAGAATGGGGTTGAAGCACCAACTGCTGTAGCAAAAGGAGATATTTTAGTCGGAACCTTAGTAGAACCAACTTTGAACACGTCTAATGTGGTTGCTAATAAAAATGTTGAAATTGCTTCTAGCATTACAGTTGATGAACTGGCAACGGATGCTTCCAGTTCGGCCGGTGATACACAAACACAGTCGTCGTCCAGTCCAGTTGGCACGGTCGATAGCGCCAGCACCGCCGATTCCAATACTATTGTTATAAAGCCGACGGGGAATAATGATATTGCTTGTGCAGCGATCTCGCATAAGTTGCAGGAGATCGCTGAGGTAGCAGAATCGCTTGATGCTGCGATACGCGACGTGCAACAGGATGCGGAAGCGTTGGAGGTGAATGCGACAAGCACTGCTGAGAAGAAGCGCGAGGCTATGCGGAGTTACAGTAGTGAGGTGAGTTGAATGCAGTACATATTTAAGAATAATACGTTGAGAAAAGCAGAATTAAAAAAATTTGTATAAATAAGACAAGATCGATGTATTTGAAAAAGTTTTTCCCCGACATGTTTTTCTCAACTTTTGTCCTGAATTCGGTATAGTACCATTATTTGGAGATTATTTTAGCCATGACTATTGCTTGTGGAGACTCCACATTACTTATTGCTTACTATATATAGAATACTAATTAGTTTGTCATGTATTGTAAGCTATAAGCCGTCACTTCAGCAGTTAACCCCCAGCATACGCTGTTTTTAGGTCGGATTCATCGAAAAATTGATTTTTAGAACACTATTATTCAGTAATCATCGATCTGAACAAAGTGATATGGCCGAAATAAGAGTTCGTGGCCGGATCAATACTGTTAACATACAGCCGGCTGTTTTGTGAAATGCTTATTCAAGGCTTGACGGTTATCTGTCTATCATATAAAGCGGTGAATAACATTTGAAGGTGCTTCAATAACCCGAAAACCGCTGACACATTTTCTCTACTTTAGATCGCTTCACGCACTAGTACGACAATGCTGGAGTGTCGATAGGCAAATAGGGATAAGAAATAACGAAAAAGAGAGTGCCAATAGACAAGAGAATAAATGGTCCCATCCCATAGTAATCACATATTTTTTTGGCAAAATTAGTTTTTTTCAACAAAGTTCCCTTAAATGAAGTTTATAGCGGCTGTCCAACTTTTCGATACTATTTTTGTGCTTTGCTTCAAAATAAGACACAGTTTCGTGGATCACCTCTTCATTCAAATAAAATTTCTTCTCCGTGAGCATTTTTCTGAGATCTAAGAAAAAGAAATGGTCGCTAAGGGTCTGATGATGGAGTATATGGTAAATGCGAAAGCAAGGTTGTTCGAAATAACCTAATTTGTCATTATTCCAAAATTATAGTTTAAGCATGCGTTTATCCAGAGAAGGCAAATTTCTCTGAAAATTGCTAAATATAAAGCCAATCCATAAAAATTTAAAACAAGTGAAGTCAAATGACGCTCGGAAAAATGTTTAAGAATACTAATTAAAACTGAATACGGTATTAAGGATGAAATATTAAGCGAGAAAACAATCATATCACATACCATCTGATCAAATGTGACCCGGACTGACAAAAAAAAAATATTTTCACATATTTCAATAGAAATTTCAATTAAAACTGACTTAGAATATACCATTCGGGATGAAATATTAAGCGAGAAAATATATATGATTTTATATCATATGATCAAATTTGACCCGGACTGACAGAAGAAAATATTTTCACATTATTATACCCTTCCTGTTTGTGTAGCCTATGTTTACACCAATTTTCTTTACACTTATTATAAGCCTCGGCTGAGATGACCTTTAGTGCCTTCAGTTAATTTTGTTCAAATTTTGTGGGTCTCTAAAAATGGCATGTCATTTCCAAATTTATAAACTATTTAATATAAAACAATGCTCCGAAAGCACTTTCCAAAAGTCATCCAAAATAATATAAATTCTTCTATCCCTCTCCAGGACTGGCACTCACGCTCCACCGAAGATGATTCCTTCGTTACCGCATCCGAGGGCAATTTCACGCCACACTCGCATTCGTCGTCATACCAAACGGCGTCCGGACGCACTTCCTCGTTCATTAGTTGCGATAAAAGCTCATTTGATGTGAGCGAAGCCGATGACTCCACCTTCGCATCGACATTTGAAATACCCGCGGACATTAATATGTCGTACGATGGCACTGAACATAGTTTTGTATCTGCACAACAGCAAGACTCCACACCCTCACCGCAACAACAAGAGCTACACCAACAACAAAACGCAAATGATTCATCAAGTGTTGGAGGCGCATATGCTTTACCACCCACCAGCGACGACGGCGACGGCAGCAGCATCGCTGACATTGAAGACTTGCACAGCCAAAGCGTGACACCGACACCGGGTGATGGCGATGTAGAGCACTATAACTACCAAAGCATACCCATCGAGTCGGAGTCCGACTTGGAGTCAAGCTGTATAGCAGATTCGCCATCGCTGCAGGTGCTAACGGAGGAGGTGCCGGTCACATCGGTGACACCGGAGGTGAGCACGTGTTCAAGTACTGAGCCACAGCAAACGCAAAAGCAAAAGCAACAGCTACAGCAGCAGCCGCAAACAAATTATAACAGTAATAACAATAACAGCAATACTAACAACAACAACAACACAAGTAATACGAGTAACAATCAAAAACCGAATGCGGCCTGGCGTCGCAGCAAATATTACGAGAACATAACCAAGCAAACCATCAAGGGCTTTCTATAGGTGAAATGCGTGAGTGCGTGCGGGGGCGTTGGTGGCGTCCGCAAAGCGACAATGCCAACGCCAACGCCAGCTGCGCACAACATACAACAACAGCGCTTTGCATGCACACACACCCACACAAACATACATATCACATGTGTGTATGTACGTTGAAATGTTTGACCACAATATCCGAGCATATTTTCGAAAATTTATTTGCTTTGGCTAAATTAGTTTGCTATTTATTTGCTGACAGGCAGCAACTAACCATGAACTTAACCGCACTTTATTGTTGCCTTGACGTGCCCGAGCAGTCGGAAATGACTACTGAGTAAATAAGCAGTTGTTTGTATGTATGTAGGTATTTTTTGTTTTTGTATACGTTTTTGTTTTTTGTTTTTGGAAAGTAGCTTCATCATAAATTTTCGAAAATGACTGCGGCAAAATCATTGAGGAAATTTACATAAATATTTTTGTTTATGTGCATAAAATATATAAGTATGTTTGTAGAAAATTTTAAATTTATTTATTTTGGAATTTTTAAGTAAATACACTGCAGATTTCAAGTGCCAAATACATGCCTGGTTGGCTTTTGGCGTCATTTGGCAATACCAAAGCGTTAAAGTATAGAAATTATACTGTGGGCAGAAAATAGTAAGACTTGAGCTCCGTATGACTTTTTGCTAATATTCTGGAAATTTACTTTAAAAGCTGTTTCGAGAATTGGAAAAACGTTGACACAAGTGTATTAGGACCAAGGGGGATTGCTTTGAGCGGGACGATACAGATTTTGAAGAATAAAATAAGATTTTTGAAATTATGAACAACGTCTTACTACTTTTTGCCCAAAGTGGTCAGCCCATGCATACAAACAAAATATATGTATATAAGAACAAAAACAAAAAAAGTAAAGACAAAAAAGAAAAGAAAAATACAAAAAACAATCTAACAAATGCTTACAAACGTTTATGACCAAGAAATGCCTGCGAATGAAATTTTAATGCAACTAATTTCTGCTGATTCCTTCGAATTTTGAATTTCGCATTTACTAAACTAACCTTTTGATTTCTTATCTACATACATAACTTATTAATGCCGGAGAATTCCAAATTAAATGTAGCAAAAACAACAAATATGTATAAATGTTATGCCGTTACATACTCTAGTGATAATTATTTATATAACATTACTTTAATTAATTAATTACTTCTATTTTTATATTTTATTTATCTATTTAATTAATATAATAAATTAATTATAATTATTTAAAATTATAACAACTACAACTACACATATATATATATAAAATCTCTTTAATAAAACTTAGTCAATTTTTATTTAAGAAATATGCTTACACAACATACATATTGTTATATAATAATAAAAATAAAAGAATTGAAATAAACACTCTTAACTATGCATGAAACAAATACAAAATTGTACTAAATAAATTTAGAAAATTTTAAAATTTTAAAAATTTACTACCACTACTGTTGCGACATTTACAATTATGATTTTATTTAACACATCTCTAAGAAATTTCAGCATATAATCGTTTGGACTGTTTTATAACTGTATAGTATCTGTTTTTGCTGTGTGAAATTTTAAGGTGACGAAATAAATGTATTTCAGCAGTTAAAATGTGAAAACATTTTATCAAGATTTAGACGATTTTAGTCGATTAATCGAATATAAATTCGATAATTCTTAGCTACTGCCATTCAAAATATTTTATTTTTTGTGCTATACTTATAAAACAGAAGATTTTAGTCCATAAAAATATCGATTATTTTCGATTATTTCCTTATATATTGGTACAGGAAATATTGTGATATAATTTTCAAAGCTTTGCATTTGTAAAATTTTAGTCGATTAATAGAAATTGAAGTTGATTATTTTCGATATATTTATAATATCGATATTGGGAATATTTAGATATAATTTTCAAAGCTGGGCAATTAACGAAATAAATCAGCATTTAAAACATTTTAGTCGATTAATAGAACATGAAATCGATTATTTTCCATAAATTTATGGTATAGACATTGGAAATATTCTAATATCATTTCTAATGTTGTGCATTTAACGCAATAAATCAACATTTGGTTGATTTTAGAACAGTAACCGAAAATAAAATCGATTATTTTCGATAATTTTTTAATATTGTTATTTGGAATATTCTAGTGACGGTATATAAAATTATACAATTAAAATTTTTGTACACGAACAATTTCGATAAGATTTTTCGAATTGGATTTATACCTGAACAAGAAATATTCTAATGACGTTATTTAAAATTGAACACTAAATTAAAAAATAACTTTATTTGAAAAAGAACAATCGATAAATTTCGATTTTTTATTAAAATCGATTATTATTATTTTTTCAATGAAAAGCAATAATTGAAAAAAATATAGGCAAGCTATGCATTTTTGATAAAAGTTTTCGAATTGGATTTATACCCGAATTCTATTACTATCGATTTTCTCTGATGGTTTTTTATGAAATATTCTAATGCCGTTTTTTAAAATTGAACACTAAATTAAAAAATAACGTTATGCGAAAAAGAGCAATCGATAAATTTCGATGTTTTATTAATACCGATTATTATTAATATTTTAATGAAAAATATCATTCATCAAATTGAACTGGACTACAAAACAGTTGTTGAAATGGAAATAAATTGGTTCCGAAATTCTATATATTTATTAAATCGATGACATTTTTAAATTTACTTGTTTAGTAATTGGCAAACGATAGTAAAAAAAGTTCAGCTTGAAAAACTAGATATCACTTATCAAACTTAGAGAATCCTCAATTCGCGACGGAAGATTTCAATGAGAATCTGAAGCGTCCGATGCTATCATTATTCTAAAATTTACTTCAAAAAGGATCTTTACTGAAAGAAGTAGTCTTCGTTAAGTCAACTAGAACTTAACTGACGGTTGGCTGCTAACCAGACATTGAGAAAATGGCAATCAAGATTTTATGTTTCATACAACTTCCTGCTATTTTAGTTAAACACTTTTTCTGTGTATCTGCACATTAATGTGTGCGTGAGTTGAAGTTGTTGTAAGTTACCACGATCACTTTTTTGCTTGCAGACTTTTAGGCGTTTACTAAAGTGAGACTGGCGATGTTTTTCGATGTTTCGATCGTTTTAGTAATAAACGCACAAATACCAATTTTCAATGTTATACGTTCATAGGTGCAGATAATAGCAAATTTAAGTTAGGATAGTGTTGTCATTTTGTATATAAAATCTCTTATTTCAGGTTGAGAGTAAAAAACTGATGAAAATATATTTGTACATATTTGCATTTAATTAAATCGATATATGAAGTACATTTTATTGCCTTAGATACTGTGTTACCCGCCAAGGCGAATGATAAATAGCTTAAAAGAGATCACACGGCCTTGAAATATTTAATTTAATAGCCTTTAACTTACAGCCTTGCCATAAAGTGGTCAATGAACTGTCTGCGAAAATTTCTTTTAATCATCCTTTTCTTATCTTTGGTTGGCACCTCAGAGACCGGTTCTACAAACTATAAATATTATACTTTTTATATTATATAACCTCAGTCGCTCCTAGTCACATATTATATATCAGGTTAGAGTTTATTCTTCGATGGTGACAATCAGTTCATGGGTTACATGGTTTTACGGGTTTCAAAAAATCAAATTTTTTATTGACTTTTTAAATTCTACAAAACGGAATAATAATTTCGGAGATGCAGTCTTGAGAGCTTGTGCGGTCGAGGTTAACGTTAAGTGCGCTGCCTTTAGACGCGTGTTTCTCAAAACAGCGTTTTGGATGACGGTTGGCAAAATTTCTCGAGAACTACTCAACCGATCTTCATGAAATCGTACACAGATCTTTGAGATACAATTATTAAAGACTTCGACGAAGGATTATTAAATTATCTACAAATTTTCTGACCCAAGTTTTGATATACTAGTTTGATCTCAACCTTTCTGAAGTTATCTTTATATGAATTTTTACAAATACTTCCTATTTCATCCCAAAATTTAAATGCTAAATTTTTTGTAGGAAATTATTTAATTATTTTTTCCCAAAATAGTGACTACTCTTTCAAAAAAGCTCACACATGTAATTTTTTTAAACGTAGTTGTTTACATATTATAACCAATTTGATGGAAAATTATAACAGGTGGCAAGATTTTATTTTTAAATATATATCTCATTTATAATTAATTTACCTATAAAATTTTTTGGAATAAAAGTTGAAAGCAGTTTTTAAAAAATTTGAAATAAGTGGCAACTCTGCACCAAAATTTTTTAACTCTGAGCTTTCTTACACCTGTTCACATTGAAGTCCACATTGCGCAGAGTTTGAGTTATGATTTCTTTTACTTGAAAATTACAAACATGTGGCAACATTTAAATTCTTTTTTTACTGAAATCGTCTTAACATTAACAATGGCGGCGCCATGTATTTATGTGAGGTGACGGAAATTCCTTGCGTTACAAACTTTCGTTGCAGTCAATAATTTTTTTCCGTTTTTAATCCCATACTTCGGTTCTACAGTACTGAAGTGTTGCTTACATTTATTTTAACACAATTTCAAGTCGAAATTTCTCAATGTAAGCGCCTCCACTGTACTGCATATTACAAATGCCGCCACAATGATCGCTTTCAATACGGTTACTGTTGCTATTAAACCTCAAAGTTGCGGCATATTCGAGCGCCATGCGCCTCATATTATTCTACATATTTATTGTTGTTTTTGTTGTGCTGCCGCGTTGCAACACATCGTGACTGTTGCATCGAAGC